CCTTTTGAACATTAAGCACGTAAAGGCAGAAAAAATAAAATTAAAATAGGACTGACTGACTTTGAATACCACACACAAATAAACTAGGTAGTAACAAACAAATTCCATACATCAGAATAACTAATATTGAAATAATGACTGGAAAACATTTATGAAAATCAAGAGAAAAACTAACACAAAAAAGACTCCAGTCTGAAAAGACATGCACAGTAGGAGTGTAAATGATATGAATAGAAACATAACTACCACAAAGGCGATCCAAGATGATACAGAAAAAAGGGGTTTATCGTTCAAAGGGAAAAGCTCTTTGACCAGCAGTGTGCTGGATGGTAAAGGGGATAATATCAGGTCTTATGCTACTTACAATCAAGTTACGACTGGATTCTACAAACAGTTAACCAATAACTTTAAAAGTAAATACAGCACATTTGTGGGACTCTCTTTCCCCATACATAAATCATGACATATCCATTACATGGTTAGAAGCTGCAAAACTTAGCAATAATAGACTCCAAAGCTGCAATCCCGGTCCACCGACATTAACGGCAAAATTCCCGTTGACTTCAGTGAAGGCAATACCTTCCCTAATGCATAGTATCACATTACTTAAGCTACAAAACCAGTTCTTCTAAATATACTATCCCAATTACATGGTAATTCCAACTATGATTACTATGTAAACTATAGCTTGTAAATTGCTATTACAGTTACATCATTTTTTCTGTCCTGTGATGCTCACAGCACATTAAATGTAAGAGTTTCAGACAAAAAATGAAAACTGTTCTCCGCAGAGAGAACGTTTGTTACTGCTCTTCCTTAAATTGCAAAAGGAACACAGTCAAGTCAAAAGGGTCGATATTGTGCAATTAAAGCAGACGTTGGCAAGAATAATAATGCTAAACAAGCCAAAGTAATACTGTTTGGCTTTTTCAATCACTGCCCTTTGCGTTCATCATTTTATATTTCAGCATTTTCTTCTATTAAATACAACGTTTCCATATTCTTAATATATATATGCTGTATGTATAAAGTCTTTTATGAGTAAAACTGATCTGAACTATTTTAATCATATGGACTTTTGACAATAGTACCAGTCATGTGCTAGATATTAGTATTCACATAATCAACTCAGTCACTTAAGATAAACTGAATGAATTAGAAGTTATTTAAGTTTGAAGGATCAAATAAAGTACTGGAGAAGGAGGAATTAAAAAGCAAAGCAAAGCAAAAAAAAAAAAACAAAAAAACAAAACAAAACAAAACCATCATCTGCATGCTTTTTCTAATGGAGAAGTTGAGGACCTAAAGGCTAGGATGTTTGTCTTCTCAGAAATACTGTATGTACCTATTTAATACATTTCATATTCTTAAAATGGCCTTGAAGTCCACAAAGTTCATTTATTTGGATATAATGAATACAGCATTGTGAGCATCAGAAGTATTCTGCAAAGCTCCACAGAGGAAGAGCACAACACAGTAAGGTAATGGATCCTCATGCTTTCATATGTTACAGCGGGCATTTTAAAAAAGAACTTACTGGATTGTACATCTGATTGAACAACTGTTCAGCTTGCTACATTGCAAAGTTGGAAGGGAGTGAAGCACAGACAGGAAAAGAAGGAAAGATCCAGGAAAACAGCATTAGCTCAACAAAACCAGTGCATTTGCACAGAAGAACTTGTCATAAGAAAGTAGAAATTTAAGATTCTAAACATTCCGTGGTGAAAGTGAGAGGCACTGGGGAAACATAAATGTTGACTTTGGCTCCTAAAAAAGAATAGCTGGAGTAAGAAATTTAAGGTTTGTGTTACTTTCCCTTTCTCAAGTTAAATAACCCATGAAATAAAGAAAGGTGTCCACTTTTGATGATACATTAAGTGCTGGTCTCAAGCAATGAATCATGAGAAGTGCTTTTGGCTGAGGCTGCAATTTATCACCAAAGCTTCAAAGATGGCAATAATAAAAGATTAATTAAATTGTATCATTAAATTTATTACTTTCCTTTTGTTTAACACAAGACTGAATTTTCTATGCAGAATGACTTTTGAACAGTACAGCTTGGCAAAAAGTACTTTAGCAACTGCAAATATGTCAGTAAGCAAGTAAATTTAAGATAATGAAAAACAACAAAAGGAGGAAATTCTAGAGTGGATAATAGGATTATATATATATACACCCACACAGATATATATATAAAACACTT